CCACCCCCCACCCCCCCTAGTATTGGGTAAAACGACGTTTGAAATGGGTAGCATTTGGTAAATCACGAAAGTGGCCATTGTGATTGTGGCCTTGCTTTCATTTTCAGGCGAGCCTAAACAATTCCATGTCCGTCAGGATTTATACCCGAATATGTTAAATTTAAAAAGGGACAAACCGGTTGTTCCGCATGAACTCACATGTACAGGCCCCTTTCACATAAGGAACTAATTATATAATCTCCTTGTATGGAGCGATGACTGTTTCAACCGACATATGACTCGTCCGGAATCAGTGACTTTTTTTGGTACTAAAACTAGATATTACATGGAAGCGTTGGAATGAATACGATTTCGATCAAGGTCAAACCTACTGGGGCACATGTCATCATTCGCACGTCGTTTTGATCTCAGCAGGAATCGCAAAATTAAAGCAAGAGATGGCGAATAAAGGTATGATAGACCCGTCACTTCAACAATTTGTAATGAAAGAACAACAACGACAAAGGTTCAATCATCTCGTGCACGAACTGACGGAGAAGTGTTGGGACAAATGTGTTGACAAGCCTAGTAATAAACTGGACTCCCGTACAAGCAACTGTTTGGGGAATTGCGTAGAACGATTTCTGGACACTGCCAATTTTGTAAATAATCGGACGATGTCAAATGCTAGATCACCAAGTTCCGGTTTCCCGCAGGACAGCGAAATGACTTTGGATTGAACTGGTGTTAAAAGTTTGTTTGCAGAGCCATGTTTAGCCGTTAAATTTCGAGTCCATGAAAACACCATACGATGCCGATGGTAAATTTGGAGAGGTGTGGCATTTTCAAGGATCAGAAGTCAGAAATGTCAAGGAGCACGAGACATGCTATACCGGATACATCAAGACGGGGAATACTCAATGATGACATTCACCAAGGCAACGGATGCTCAAGTTGCATATATCTAAAACTAGACTTGTGTATGACAGTCACATCAAGCATTAAGTGACATTGTAATGTTGTCAGTTGATTACAATTAATTGTTAACGGTTTGAGTTTCTACCATCTCAACCTACAGCTTGCCATTCAGTGGTCATTGTTTAATTGGTTCAATGTGAAATATCACTCAATTGTAACAAAAACTATTTTCCTTGTGCTGTCCTAATAATAAATGTGACAATATGTATAGAAGTCTTATACATTTCATGTTGCTATATATTTTATCACTTGATACTTTATTGCAAATAGTCAGCATTTGGGATCCCCGTACCTATGAATATCAGCATCAGAAACTGTTTTTTTCAGTGTTACTAAAGCATTGATTAAATTATAAAACCATTTCTGAAAAAAATATTCCATACCTTGCTGGATTAGTATGAAACAAAAAATGATAAAATGAACAAAATAAAATCAATAAGAGCGCTCTGAGGTGAAAAAAATAAGCAGGGCTAAACCAGGATTTGAGCCCTGGACTTCAGATTAGCTCAAAAGTGCTACAGTTACAGCGGAACAAGTTAAGGAGAGGTTACTGTATTACTTTATAGGATTCTGGAAAACCAACAGTGCAGTCGGACAGGGCAAGATATTTTCATCTGTATGTTAGAATTTGTTACAGAATGTATGTTTGTACCTATCCTTAAGCATGAAGTATTTTTAGATGGGATAAGGCAAGCCCGGTTCAGATCAATGCTAGTTCTAGGGACACTTTCTTGTATCCTACTTGAAATTGTTCAGGTGGCACAGAAACATTCCGAGATGAATGAGTGTACTAGGACCAAACATGAAAAAGAGCTAAGAATGCCCCATTTTGAGAATTTGTAACTATTATTAATTATCCATATTAAGAATAGTATGGTCCTTCTTTAATGCACGCATTTAATTGATGACAAATCTTTTAATAATACGTGAAAATACATCCGGACCCCTCGATATGCATTTGCCATAATCCCGAGGTCAGCCTTGGTTCAGATATGAGCCTGTTGTTTTCTTTTCAGGTTCAGCTAGTTGAAACAGTTGAACTGAATACACAAAAGGGGGCCTTGTAAAAATACTAGGGACACGAGTCATTATTAAAAACAATTAGCCTCTACTGAAAAAATCACAAGTAGAGGAAAGAAACTATTTTCTTATCAAGGGGGTCATGTCCCACGGTTGGGCAAATACTTATTATTATTGTGAGCTACTTTTGGTTTATTTAAGGCCTGCTACTTCATGGTATACACCCGCTGCCATACACACTTGAGAGGCCTAAAATCTAACAGTTTGCTACAATTATTGCAAACTTATTATTTTTCTAGTTGAATAGGAAATAATCGGTTTCAGTACTCTGCTGCGATTGAGCTATATATTGTAGGTGTATCAACCAAATCTTTTGAGCCATTCTCACAAATTTTTCATTGTAAAAAGAATACAATATAATCATATTTGAAAGAAGGCTTTAAAGTCTATATTTTTACACAAATTTGCTCAATACAGCTATAAATTATAGGTGGATGTAGATGTCAAGGTCTTTACTGCAAGATACAAAAAATGTAGCTTAATAAGCAGAGTGTGCTAGACGTGACATTCAAATAAAGAAACGAGTAAACACTTAACAGAAGGGCAAACAAAACATTTTGTTTTTTAATGTTTATTCATTTGGTGTATTTCACAGACCTTATATAACATGGATATTTTATACACATGGAAAGTGTGATATTAGCTATAGTTTCTCAAGCGTCTATATGAATACATGTACAGCACAGCAAAGTGAGTTTTATACCATCAGAACCAGAGTACCCCAATAAATAAATAATACGAGTGACTTAGTCGTAACAATTCAATACCGAGATTTCATACATTTCGTATAGATTGCAAATAGTAATGAGCTGGGAGTACTACTGTTTAACTAGCATGGTAAAGATCAATTAAAACCGACATTTGCCGATAGTTTCTAGTCCATGAAGCTTTCTAAAATACATTACACTGTTCAACCTCAATTGATTACAATATTTAGATCCTTAAAATAGTTTGTTCTTTCATTAGAAACCAGTGAACCAAAACTTTTTCAATCACATTAATGTATATATCATAGTTATGTGTATTTATACCTTGAAGACAATGACACAATTTTGAATAATAATAATAATACATGATGTAGTTACATATACTGAATGTTACCTTTAGTTGGTAAAACTATGCAAACCTGTTAAATTCTATACTAGCATAAGAAGTTCAAAATTATTATGAAAACTGTCACATTCTAAAATACCTTAAATTCATTGTGTAACTAAATTGTAGAATGTTTTGATCTACAAGAAAAACCAAGTCAGCTATTTTTCTTTGCCATTTCAAGATCAACATAAATATAAGGGTTTGCATGCTGATCTTGCCACTATCCTTGGTTTGAATGGTCTAATAACCAAGACTACTAACTAAAATTCTGGACTAGTATATCATTATTTGCTCCAATACATAAATATCTAACCCACACAATTACCAAAGCTACTAGAACATTTATATGTAAATATACTATTTTACCAAAGCTACTAGAACATTTTTAGGTATGTATTCTGCTACATGACTGTTATTGCATCACCGATTCCTATGGTTTGATTTTATACAAAATAAATATACACATACAATTTCGTTACTACTTTGCGAAATCCATTGAAGAATTATTTCATTTTCCATGTTTTTCTTAGCAATGGGTCACAAACTATCACCTATGTACACATACCCTATTGCATTAATGTAGACCAGTGATTGACTGATATAATGTATCTTTCCTTCCCTTGAGGGTATAGCAAACAAATTTCAACCAAGATTCGTGAACGCCTTAAGCCCTTTACCCTTTCACCCCTATGTAACTTTAGTAGACTCTACCATGCATTGATCTAGATGAGTCAATTATGGTCTACAGTGGTGAAAGGGTTAACCAGGGTCATTAAGGTATCACACCCAAAGGATTGGAATTTCATTTCCATTCTCTCGGGGCAGGGAATGGTGGGTTTTTTTCTCTCCCAGAGACCCTAAAAATGTTCCAGCAAAAGAAATATGCTTTCTATACCAATGGCCATGGCCACCTATTATATGTCATACATAGTTAAAAAAATGTCATTCAATTGTTTCTATAGCAAGGGGTCTACTGAAAAATCGCAGCTAAAAACGACCACAAACCAATGAAGAATGTGGAAAATATTGTTGAGAAGACAATGTGAAACATCTCCCAAAAGTTCAACCAATCAAAATTAACACACAACTTGTACTTGTAGACTAATAAGAGGTACAAAGAAGAACATGTTAACAGTATGTCAGGTGGTAGGGAGGGGGCTGTATAAATCCATGGAATTCATGTACATGTATATATATATACACACATAATTATAATTATGAAATGTTCATTCCTTTTTAAAAGGAAAATATAAAGATAGGTTATACTCAACATATTCTGTGGTCCCATATGACTTGCTTACACAGCAATGCAAAGATTATAATTTGATATGGATTTATGTGTTGATCAGTGACGTTACAAGAAGTGATAATGAAGTATCTTGGATACACATTCATAGAGAAATTCGGCATCAAAGGTATTACAGGATACCCTTTAAAGTATCCATAATGTAAAGTAAAATGATCAGTTGCCGACATATGAACCATGATCACAGAATAAATTTGCCATTAAACAAAACAAGTTTGACATTTACTATAGAAATGTGCATAAACAAATATAAATAATTAAATAAAACTGTATTGGAATTTTGAAATGAAATAAGTTGACTGCTCACCAATTGTAAATATGAACACAGGAAACTTCATATTTTAAGCTTTAATAAATAAAATTGCAAAACTGATGCTATATTTAATTGAAGATACCATCATTTTTATATGTGAAAATTATAAGAGTTCTGACATAGTATCAAAGACAATGATTACACATAGCTGAGAGTGTTGTTGTTCTGTAACACAAGATGTGTTAAAAAATTACTTTAACAGTGTATATGCATTAAGGAAGGTACTGTCGGTAGGTCGTTGGGTTTTTTTCCGGGAACTCCGGTTTTCCTCCACCACCAAAACCTGGCACATCCTTAAATGACCATAGCTGTTAATAGGAAGTAAACACAAACAAACCAAACCAAGCAATAGAAAGAACTCAATATTCTGTGGATAATAAATATGAGATAGGACAACACAAACAGTTAACATATCTTGTACATGGTTGACTGCATGAAACTGTCTAGTAACAAATGGTAATTGATTCAGATGAAATATAACATTTTCAACAAAATATTGCACAGGATTGTATGGAAGGTATGTCAAAGATAATCTCTGGCAGCTGTGATATAATAGTCCACCGAAGGGTAAAATCATCAGATATTTAATAAGCTTTACTCGAATGAATCACATCGTTTGAATAATGAAAAAAAATATACATCTTGTAAAGATTTTAGGTAAAATAGTGACAACTTCAATGCTCCGAGATCTATTAAAATAAAGGAAGTCTAAGAATCAGAAAGACAAACTATGAACTAGTTAATGATTTGTATCCAATATACTTGTATGTTTATATATACATTTATCATGGTTGAATAATACATTATATTGATAATGCCTGGGTTATTTTATTAAATTTGTTTTTACTATTTTTTACTGTTGGTAAATCAATGACTAGAAGAGTCATAATGCTGCAAGATATGTGATACTTTCAAAGTCATATTTCAGGTTTTACAACCTTTCTAGTATCATTAGGCCAGCAGCTTTATAAAAGGGAGAGTTTCAGTATACACAAATTTGTTTGTGAATATGATAAGATGCTGGTGTTTTTGCTGTACTACATAACAGTACTGAATACACAGTAACACTTTAAGTTAAGAAAGTTAGAGAAATATAAATGATTACAACTCAGGATAATATAATAATTACAGTAGCTGACAACATATAGTGAAAATAAGGAAATAAACAGCAGAATTAAATGTGTTGGACATGAACAGATATATCCTACAGTATCACAGATACACACTGTCAGTGGGCCAAGGGCAGAAACTGGGAATGCTACAGGAGTTCACTGCAAGTGACTGGTGTTTTTACAGGTGGCCTTCTGCCGGTGAATGGGGAGCCCACAGGGGGTCCAATGACTAGGTCAACTACAGGTAATCAAATGACCAGAAGCCTACAGGTGTTCGAATGCCAGTGACAAGGAATCCTGCAGGTAGTCAAATGCCAATGGCTGAAAGATCAAACAGATAGCCAACTGCCTGTGACCAGGGAACCGACAGGTGGTCCACTGCTGTGAATGGGGAGCCTACAGGAGGTCAACTGCTAATAACTTGGCCAATATATTACTACCAACAGACTAGGTAATTTAGTAACGTTTTAGCTTACAATTGGTGCATCCAGGGTACTGAGCCTATAAGGGATCCACTTCAAGTAACTAGGGAGCATACACGTGGTCTCTTGCCAAACACTGGAACATTTTGACTATTTCATGTCTGGGGGTGAAGGATAGGGACATTCCACCCACCGGTTCCAAATTGGGTAAAATCAGAGGCTTGCTGTGGGTTTTACCCTAATTTGAAATCCTTATGGTTATTGTTGTCCAATTATGAAGTCACCCAAATGAAATTAGGTGTAAGATAGAAATTTCTTACCCTACTTTCTGACCTGGACAATTATGTGATGTAGGCGCAGGAATGAGAGATTACGTATGTGTATGTATGTCTGTGACTGAGTGCCATACATTTCAAGGGTTAAACAGCATATTTTGCGACTTCTTAATATACAGGATCATAAATTTAACAAAAATACACTCAAAAGATACACAAGCCCATAACAAATACACCATACATTTCCTATTAGAGCTGACATCAATTCCTCCAGACATGGTTAGGTTTCTGGTACTAAACAAATGCTGAATGACGACAATACACCAAATCTACATAACAAAAGACGCCTTCCAAAATATCTAGATAATATGACAAAAACAAAACAAAAATCTCAGTCGCAATGGTTCAGGCACCTCTCTTCCTCCCTCTCCCTCCCTCCCTCTCTCTCTCTCTCCCAACTCCCTCCCTCCCTCTTTCACTAACTCTCTACCTCCCTCCCTCCGTCTCTCTCCCTCCCATACTGAGGAAGACCTAAAAACATCCAAAGCAAGGATTTACATACAGCAATGCTTCCATATACAGAGGATTTCAATCTTACAAATATTTATGTAAAATGCACTTAAAATGGGTCATACTGACCTTAATCTTAAATCATTATTTTACAATAAATGTACAGCTTTAACATGAGTAAAAAAACATATTATTTACATAAAACAAAACTGTTCCAATATATTCATGAATCACATCACAAAATAAAAATCACACAACCAGTTTTTGAATAAATGCCTGCAGTGGATTTCAAACCATTTTCAGAATGAACTTGATCTCAAACTGGTAATATTCAAGCAACTGAAGTATCGAAGTAGACCATTTTTCTTGTCAGCATAAGTCAGAGTAACAAAACTTTTGTATAGAGTAATTCTTTTTCATTTGTAGAGTAACAAAAAAGTTAAATATATTCATTAAATAATATTAAGAAGTCCCTAACAAAAGATCTGTAACTCATCAAACTACTGTTTGAGAGATATGAAAATATTTAAACTAACATATTGGAAAAGATCTCCCCATGATATGCTATTCAGCAAAAGTTGCAAGAGATCATCAAAAAAGTATCAAACACAGCATTAAAATCAACAAAGATTCACCTTAAATAAGTACTGATGTTCCTTTTGTTTTGATGCAGTGAAAATGGACGCAATTTAAAAGTTGATTATGCAAAAAACCTGAGGTGCAAAGCCTTTAATTCAACATTATGAAATCCACAACACTGGACAAAAGCAACCATTCTGACAGCAAATGACAGGAACACAAGTAGATATGCATTGTAACATAAATCTACTTTGTTTGGCCTTCTTGTATCCATGTAAATAAAATAACATTTCCTGACATTTTCTGCGTTCATGTTCAATAAAATGTGCATGATTTCTGACAATGAAAATATTTCTACATTGTAGTCTATCAAAATTAAACCCTTCATAATCTGAAAAACTATGTAAACAAAATATCTATGTAGGTACTTCACTGTGTGTTTTATAAGACAACCGAGAATAAGTTCTGCTGAAACATATAAGTTCCGCTGAAACATATAAGTTCTGCTGAAACATATAAGTTCCGCTGTAACATATAAGCTGTAAGTATGGAACACAACGTCACCACTTTTTAAAGTTTTCTTCTCAAAGGATTTATAAAAAAAAAAAATATTGTATTATAATAGCAACTGTTATGGTCTTTCCTGTCACCATTATCAAATTTTATAATTCTGATTTCCGTTATGAATTTTTATTAAATGATATCAGTCGTAAGTTACATATATTTGACTTGTTTGAAAGATACTGACAGAGCTATTATGTGTATTATATATGTTTGTTATGCATGCACCATCTTGTGGTCAATTATAACATTTATTCCGCTGTCCCTTATTTCAACACATTTTTACCAAATACTACAATGACAAAAAAATTAAATCCAGCATCTAACATCTACATGTACTAAAAAGAAGAAATTCCTTTGAATATAATGCATTATAATGGAAGTTTTATAAAAAAAAAAATTGATGATTTTGAATTTCTTTTTTTCAGGATTGACCATAGAAGATTTTACCTAAACAAATATTTAATAACATTTCTATAATAGTCCTTTGCACAATTACCAGTACATTACTCTTTAGGAGAATATGTTATTCATTATGTCTCTTCAGAGTCATATATTATGTCTCTTTAAGAAAATATATTATGTCTGAACATTTATTGAAGTGATTTGTGCAACTATTTTCTGGTTTTTGACTGAGAATCAGTAAACTGGTTTGCCGCTGACAACTGTAGTTATGATGAAACTTTTCATGAGTACCTGTGTAACCTTTTCAAAAACTATGTTCTGGCTTCAAAGCATTACAGGTGAATAATTATGATTTACAATATTAAACTTGATTAAGTTTAAATTAGAATCTTTGTTGGTCTCCTCTAAAAGGAATAGAAAGTGACATATTGAATGATCATGAATAACTTTCAGACTCGATAAACAATGACGTTGTTGACTACATAGACGACTTGTGATGATATGAGGCTGTATATATAGGCATGCTCCGTGACCTGGTTCTTCACTGCTCTAACCAAGATGGCATTTCTGTGTTGGCTCCCTTCAGCTTGATGTTAAACTGCTTCAGGGTGGCTTCAAGGGCGGCATCATTACCAGTAAAATATGCAGAAACAGCATTGTGGAACAGCAGGAGTTGTTTGTGCATCACTTTAACCTAAAAAAACAAGACAACAACAACTCTTAACCATTAAAGCTTTAACCAACATAGTCCAAGGCTGATCACATTCAATATTAGAGGAATAAATAGTTGGGAAGGGAGATACCCCAGGGCTCACTTAATTCATTAACATGAGTTCCGCAGGGCGGAACAATAAACGCCCGTCGAATGCCATATAGTGTTATATACTTTCTTACATTGAAATAAGATCTGCATCATTCAAAGAGTGGTTAGCTGACATGCTATGAAAATTTAGGAGAAAATCTCTGGATAAAAAAATCAAATACTTAAATGAACAAAGGGCAATAACTTTTGGAAAAATTGTCGAATCAAAATTCTTTTAAGGAAGACAAAACTATATCATGATTATAATGTATACCAAGTTTCAAAGAGATCCGTTGAAAAATGTAGGAGGAGATTGTCGGACAAAAATCAAATACTGAAATAAACAAAGGGCAATAACTTTTGCGAAAATTGTCGGAATCAAAATTCTTTTAAGGGAGAAAAAACTATATCATGATTATAATGTATACCAAGTTTCAAAGAGATCCGTTGAAAAATTCAGGAGGAGATTCATCTGATTGCCAGAAAAAATATCAAATACTGAAATAAACAAAGGGCAATAACTTTTGGAAAAATTGTTGAATCAAAATTCTTTTAAGGGAGACACAACTTCATATCATGATTAAAATGTACCGTAAAAACCCATGTAATTTGCGCAATAATTTTTTAAGAAATTTAATACCCAAAGTGGGGGGTGCGTAAAATACACAGGTATAGAAAAATTCAAGTTTTTTTCAGGAAAAGATCGACGATTCTGAGAGATCGCCATCTTGGATTATGTTCCTTGGTACACGGAACTCTAAGACAAATGACGATCAACAAATTTATTTATGTCAAACATTAATAAAAGATACATAATGTGTTGTTATGTGAAAAGTATTAATAAATAGGTAACCGTTAACAAAAAAAGTTTAGCCAAATTCCTATGCCAAGAATTGCCGATCAACTTACGACATTACGTTTCGACATCTCGGTGCGTTTCCCCACACTATTACGAAAATGTAGCTGTTCAATTTAAGCTCCGTTCTATGTAAGTTCTGTAAGTTTTTTCAAATCGCCTATGCGTATACGTATAGCATGTTTTTTTTCCGGCTCACTTTCATGTTGATCTCGCGTCTAACATTACGTAAACACGTGATTGATAATAACCTCGTGAATTATTTCAATATTTATTAAATGAACATCGTAAAAATAGTCTGCGTTAACTATTTTTTTCCTTGGAGAAGATTTAAGGATGTATTGATTGTCCACGCTTCTAGTATAAACATATGTTTTATAATCCCTTATCAGTCAAATCAGTCTGTAGTTATGACAATGCAGTAGGGCTTCGTAATTCACGCCACGTGTTGGCGAGTGAAAAAAACAACAACACGATCCGTCGATCGCGACTGCAAATCATTTCAATTAGTAGAGCTATTGTTAACGGGTAATCACAGAGATAGTGTTAGCTCATTACTGCATTGTAATTTGTAAAAAAATATCGCCAAACCACGGACTTAGATAATCTAATTCCGTGGCCAAACTGAACTGTGACATGACCTGGTTTGAAGTGACGTAACCCAAGCCGCCATGATGAGCCCTTCTCACTGATCGTAATTATGATCAATAAAAGGTATCTAATTATGTCTTTCACCAGGAGATATGCACCAGCGGTTACTAAACATCGAATTACTTATTAATTGATATGTTTTTGTAAGCAAGTAAATGTTTTATGCAAAATATTGCTAAAATGAATTGATGTATGCCGATATGCGCACACGTGTGTCATGTGTGATCAGATAATTCAAAGAAAACAAGCAACAAAATAAACATTTTACGTAGTTTCTTCTTGGTTTTAAATATCATTTTACATCAATGAAAAAAAAATCATAGAAATATATTTAAAAAATATATATTCAGAGATCGATTTTCGGAGCATGAACATCGTTTTTTTTCCAGATTTTTTGGGTGCGCAAAATATTTGAGTAGAACCTTTTTTCCCGATTTTCAGCTTCAAAAAGTACCTGCGCAAATTACACAGGTGCGCAAATTACATGGGTTTTTACGGTATACCAAGTTTCAAAGAGATCAGTCGATAAATGTAGGAGGAGATTGCCGGACAAACAAAAGTTTACGCCGGACGGACAGACGGACGGAAAAAGCCATACCATAATACTCCCGTCAAATTTGACGGCGTATAAAAATATTAAGACCAAAAAATTAATCTTTAGTTTTTAGGCACCTTTTAAAACGTTTTTTATGAACACATCATTAAATTGCATTGGCAAAATAACTTAATTATGCCACCAAAACGGCTGTGATTAGTACTGTTCAAGTAGTGACCATGAGAAATTGGAAGAAAATGAATGTTTCGTAAAGCAAATGTTCCAGACATATTGACCAATACAATCCTTGGGAATTATATAATGATGTATCATTAATTGGAATTCAACTCAAAAGTGGGCCATTCATGTCTTAACAATGTTTGGAAAATATACAGTAAAACCTCACTTCCTCAAACTTGGTTAACTTGAATACCCCTCATTTATCGAACAGTTCCTTTGATCCTGACCGAGTACATATATATTCGTTGTAAAGTAACCCCGGATTAGTTGAACAACTATTCTTCAAAAACCCTGTAATCCTTCAACAAAAAATTGTCCCCGACCCTTAATCATAGTCATAATATTAATCCTATCTATTCGTCAAACAGGTGTGACCTGTCACGCCCGACAGATATTTTACCTGTGTATTACACTGACACTGCTATCCACATGTCTCGAGGCACAGGCTGCAGACCATGCTCATCGTGCTTATACATGTGTCGGCTGACGTCAGATAATTAGAGAATTACCGATAGTATCATTTAATAACTTTAACGTTACCCTGTTGTATCAGCATTATCGTTTTGTGTGCATATTTGTTTTTCCAGACAATGTTTTGACATCGATGATTTGGCAGAAGTGTAAATTCACTGGGTTGTAAAACCATAATTTGGCATGGCAATATTAAGCAGAAATCACAAAGCGTATTCTCAACAAATTTTAAATATATTCAAACTTGAATACGTCGTGATTGGTAATTTCGTTAACAAGATAACAAGAATTCAAGATTTTCTTCATTTTAAAATGATGGAAGAGTTCCTCTGGTTTTGATATTATGTAAAATTAACAAAGCCGATTACAGTATGGCGGACTATGTCAAAATGACAAGTACATTACACATACAGATTTTTAATTTTATTTACTTTCTTAATAACGGACGGTGGCTATATGTTATCATTGTTTAGCTATTTTAAATTTTATCAAATGCTGTCATCTTGATTAACTTCTTTTTCTTATATCATCTACTATCCGCAATATTTGCAGTGCTCATGCTGTCTGTTATCCCACCTGATAAAACAATAACGATGTTGGTCGAACCTCTGATTTGTCGAATACCATGTATTCCTCGAACTATTGATCTGGATCCTACAAGTTTGAGTTAGCGAGGTTTTACTGCATATAATAGTTACCAGTCATAAGTGACACATCAGCCAAACATACCCTATTCTCATCTAGGAATTTCAGTTTGATGGTAACGTCAGCCCTCAATTGTTCAAATTTAACTTTGTAGTCATCAAACTTGCGCTTGGACTCTTCTATCTTGGACACAGTGCCCCCATCTCGAGGACCCAGCTGTAGTACCTCCAGGTCGTTTCTGTACGCATCATATTCTAACCTGCAGAAAAATCAACGGTCAGGAAAAACACACACAAGTTAAGATGTATAACAAAATCATATCAGACAAATGAAAGGTCACACATTGCTTGAAAGGTATATAGAAACCTGTTGATTGAACAGTATCATTGGACTTGAAAGTGATTCTGATCCCCACAGACCCTATGCCATTTGCCTATTTATTGACTTAAATGAGTAAATAGTTTCAACAAAAAATCCTTCATGGCATTATCAAAAGCCTGAAAGAAATTTCATTGAAAGCTGAAACTAAACCTATAACACTGTCAGTCCAAGAAAGTTACAGCTTGACATAACAGCTAGTAAATCGGTACAAACACATATATCTTTCACTCGTCAATGTTGACACCTTTCAGGGACTCGACTGTATGATTATTCATTCTAAAATGTGATATACCATTACACCTATAACAAATGTAGGTGATTACTACACTGATGGGCAGAGAGGTCATTTGTATCCTGGAACTATCCATTCTGACTTGCAACATGTACATGTATTTACCAATATATGTTAGCTTTACTAATGCACTATGTTCATGTTTGCTTTCTAAAGCTTACCCTGATCCCCGAGATAATATACTTGAAGAACTCGCATAACAGGATTCCATCTTTTGCAGGTGCTAAGACAATAAATCATTGATGGTACAATATACCGGTACACATTTCCGATTTTTAACTAATCACTGATTATGATATTCCATATTAAACTGATTATATAGGCAGTGATCAATGCCTTCAACTTTTACTAGTTTTTGATATAATAAAATTGTTCACCAGAAAACACTTAATACCACCATTCCACACCATACAGAAATTGAAGGTATTAAGCATTTTTTTCTAAACTTAAAGCAATATCTTCTAGTCTCACCGTGCATGTTCGTATTGTCGGACAGTCATCAGGGAATCCTCCATGGTCTTATTACACAATGTGTTGACACTCGATGTGAAGAAGTTCATGGCACCTAAACAAGACAGCATTGTGTTACTTATGAAGTACACTTGACAAATGCAAGTATTCTGGTTTCATTTTGTTGTACATTTATAGAATAATAAACAGAACAAATAACATGTGTATCTCAAAACATTTCAAAGATCACTAAATACTGACTGCCAAATTATGATCACTGTATCATACTGTAAACAGTTGTGTATCAGGTACAGACATCATTGTGATGTACCGATGCCAAACTTCAGAACTTGCAAGGACACAAAGGTCAAATGTCAAATGTCATGACTTAAATGTAGCTCATTAAACCAACATTTATTCCACAAAAACCTTCTGACTCACCTTGTTGTGTTTGTGGCTTTCTGATAGAGGACAACTTTCATTTTTTATTTACTTGTGTTAATTATTCTCGTAACAGACAGCAGTACTTATCTGATATAATCTTAAAAATACAATATTCATGACAATGTAGATGTTCTTTTATGGGGTGATCCCACAATAAATGATAGGGAAAATGCAGAATTATTCATTTCCGTGCAGAACTTTATCGTCAACAGCAGCAGATTTTAATGGCTATTGCATATCTAAATTAGTTTTCCTTTACACCACTGAGGTAACTATTTCTATGTGATTCCCTAGGAATCTTTATCATCTTTGTCAATCAATTTTCTTTTTATTCTTTACTAAGTAACAGCTCGTTGTCAATGCCTTTAACTACAAATCAAATAATGTATAACTACTATTTTTTCATTACTTAATGATATTTTGTCCGTCTCATCAATGATGTGTTTAAATGTCCATGTAAATTGCTGCAACTGTACTAGAGGAGAGGAATTAATATAAGCTTATAGCTTGTTTTCCGATCCTCGTTGTATCTGTGTACTGTATTGTAATGTAGTGTGCAAGTGATGAAATAAAATATTGTTTAAACTAAATGTCATGGCTGAAAAAAATGCTCTCATTTAATATGCTGTACTCTAATTAAAGAGGTACATAGGTATATAAAGTTCTGCGATCTTAGCTGCAATATGTTTAGTCTATAAATAACTAAATAACTTAACTGAAGTCACAGATGTCATGGTCTAAGATAAAGATTGCAAAAATGTTATGCAACATGCTGTGAAGTGCATAATCATGTTAAGCTGTGTGACCCTAGTTGCAGTACTTTGTGCATGATTAACCTAAATGCAAAAACCTTAGAAAGCTGGATGGACATACAGACATATGTAATGCTGTATATATGTGCCCTGAACCAATGAATGTCGAAATTTCCAATTGTGTTACATTACATTAAAATATCAAGTTATGAATGATTTGTATTTAAATTGCAACAGAGTGGTACAAACCTAGTAGTGTTTCTCCGTTCCTGACCAGTGCACGCTGTGTCTCACAGTTGTAGGAGAATTCTTCGTGTAGTTCAGGGCTACGTTGCCCCTGCTCTCCGAACGCCTCACCCAGAGCTCGTTGGGTCTGTACCACTTGGTAGAAGTGATTGGTAAGGGTACGTGCCAGACGTAAAATATTGGCATATTTGCGCTGCATGTCTCTAAGAACCTCTATTTGTGTCTCCAGCTCCAGATCAACAGTCTTGGAACCCTTCCCTAATCTCTCAGCCAGGTACTGCTTTGTACACTTAAAAGTGTTCACGCTCCAGTGTCGTATAGACTCCAGTTTGGACTGTGCTGCTGAAACCGTCTTAGGAATAAAGTCCCCATTACTCTGGACTGGTGTTTGACTAGATAGTGGAACATTACTGGTAGCTGTAAAATAAACCACAAATACTATTAAGTAAAATTCTATGATATAAACAAAGGTACTGGTATTTGAAAATGTTGGTAGTAGATTGAGGGTATGTAAAATATAACATACTATTAACACATACAGGTATACCATGGCTACTTGTTAGACCAATTTCAACAGCATGAACATTTTTTATAAGTTTATTGTTCTTAATTTAAATTCATGTGTAAAGAAACCATGCACATGAAGGCTATTACAAATGTATTGATACAACAAATGAAAAGTCAAACAGCATCATATACATATAATACATTTGTATGAAAACATTATCATCACATGACAGGGCTGTTAACTTTCTTTCAGGTTTATATACATGTATGAATTTTCATTATAGTTAAATTAAACTAGTTTATTTATTTTATAAGCTAAATATTATAAAGAACATGTTTACAATCTGTGTGCAGTTGATATTAAAAAGGCAAATCTAGCAGGTTTAACCCTGTAAATCTGCATCTACTACAGCTCCATAATGTGTGCAAATACACACCACATAACATAATTTTATAAACATGACAAAATGTTATTACAACCTGATGATTTTATAGCATGTGCACAGTAGATAATTCTTCTGAACTTTTATTCTTAGGTGTCACTAAACCTGTAGCATTGATGAATGACTAATGCATGTGAATTTGATGTTGACTAATTGCTTATAAATGTACGTGTAATGAATGTATGCATGGGGTCGCTTTTGGCTTATCAGACAGGTCGATAGTTACACTCGCAACAGGCTGAGAGCACTACGTATATAGTATACACTGTAGGTAAAACACCAACCACAAGTTGTCCTACACTATCACTGTCTGAACATTAACAGTGACCCCTATAGTCTCCGATACAATTTACATGCTATTGTAACAGGTGTTGTACTATAATTTGTTTTATCAGTCATGACAATATACATGTTCATATAACAATACTTATTTCTTTTTTTTGTGGGAGGAAAAAGTTGATTTGCAATTCAAAACACATATTGCTATCTTGAGTTATTTGCTGACAAACGCAGACAAGTTACTGTAAATCGCTGATTATATTATGATTGATGAACACACTTATTTTATTTATCATGATCAGAGCCAATTGTTCATTTATATTAAAGTCATTCAATGCAAACTGATCATATATATAGTGATAATAAAATATTTTGCAGCTGAGTTCCAATGAATGTTTTTGGAAATGTATAAAACATTGACAAATTTTATATTTTGTCTTTGTCTTTTATTGTCCCTTTCAAAACATTTTTTTTTTAAATTCTTTTACAAACCAGAATTAAACATTTTTGTAAGGTTTCAAACTTTGAAATATCTTTTGAATGTTCTAAATTTTATCATCAACATTGATTGGTATCAATTTAAGCTTAAAGGATTTAATGTTTATATATGTGGGACCTTTCATCTTGGATGATGTGTCATCTCAAACTTATTACACTGACCCTTTACCTTGTACAAAAGCTTGTCAGATGATTGTAATGGAAACGAAACATATAACAGAAAACTATAATTAAATAAACACAAACGATAGAGTGATTCATTTTCTGGTTAGTCAAAGGATGTTTGGAATATGGAAACCAAATGGTGATCATACTGATATGTTAATGAACAAATGTGAGCTTTGGATACAAATCATAAAGTGCTGAAAAATTCAAGTAAGCTTTTGCATGGGCTGGTTTATTAATGATTAGTTTACACTTTCACTTTAGCCCTAACTTATTTTCTTCATTTTCCAGAAAAACACATTTTATTTCAAATTTGACAATATTTTTTTTGTATTAAATAAAAATATATCCTTGAAATGTTTCATTGCAGCTGTCATTGATGCATATTTTCACTTGTTGTAGACAGAATATATTTTCAAATGTGACTATAATTACATCAAATGGACTATAATTACAGCAAGTTTGATGTTTTTTGGGGAAGTATCTAGAACATACAGCTCAGGTATAATATTAAAGGGTCTACATTTCTACTCTGGCTTAATTAGGAATGGAAATAAAGGCAAGTTGTTAATTTAGATCATCACAAGGGGAATATGCACAGGAAGTGATTATAGATGATCAAAAATGTGCATAAAGGAAATTTAAAGGCTATACAAAAGGAAAGGGTGCAAAACTGTTGTATTTACTTTTCCTCCTGTCTGTGTCAAAATAAAGTAGCGGATTACAACAGTTATTCCAAAGCAAAACCAAAGTTAAATAAATTAAAACCATATCTATAATCAAAGAAGCTAGATAGGTCAGTTGTTACCTGACAGATAAGTAAGATTAAATAATTTTCACACCTATTACTGTTAAGAAATACTCGTTATCTACATGTAGATAGAGTTAATAGCCTAGGTATGAAACGTCGATTTCATTAATAACTTCAGAAACTACAAACAAAAAATAACCAAGCCTAAGGTAACCAAAATGCAAAGTAAAATGAAACCAATAAAAGCTGAAAAATTCAACAAAAATAATTTTACCCTGACTACGCGCTTCTACATATAGAGAAACAGAACTTGTGAATTAGACAACCAAGCACACAGGTTTACATTGTACATTATAATGAAGGTGGAATGATGTAACTTACAAGTGAACATGCACTTTCTGTGTCTTTCAATCAATTTAACATACATGTGGGTTTTCTCCACATACATGTACTTTTGTTTTCTTCCACATTATTAAGCTCAAAAATGTACACAATTCCATCTGGGCCAATAGAATAGATAACTTCATAAATTTTGTTAAATAATTGTTGTTTTTAAGTGTTTGTATATTACATATTGTATATATATGATTACCAACTAAATCTTAAATTCAAATCATTAGATATATTTCACTTTATTATTTAATATTCTTTTTTACAAGCGTAATCCTTGCTTCCAAATTTAATTCATAATGTTAAAGTTTTACCATTCTAACATATGCCAGCACAAAGAAATAAACCTGTGTATGTCCTACTCATAAAGAGATCAGCAAAGTAATGTTACTCTTGAAATTTGTTGGAATATTAGATTCTTTGTGTCACATAGCACAAAGCTAGCCTCACTACCTATTCTTAGTATGCATAAAACAATGAAAATGTCTACATCTATTCTTTTCTGATCCCTTAAATCAAAATATGCATGGCTAATAGGCTTTTTAATTACAATCATAATTTTACCTAAAGATTTAAGAATATTACAAAAGATGAAAAATCTTTTGAAAGTCTTATCTGATAACAGAAGCTAGTACTTTTAACTTTCTTGTTTATTACAAAAAAAATCTTAATGAGTAACTATTTATCTTATAACCTTTCATAAATCGGATTGTTTAACTTTATTGCCTGGTACATTATTACCAACACTAGTCAGATTTAAAATGTTCCAGTACCGTATGCTAGCAAAAATATATTATTATTTATAAAGTGAAAAATGTAGTGAGAAAAACACACCAGGAGGCATAGTAAATGACCGAGTTAGTCGTGGTTCAGTGGATCCAAAGCTAGCAGCAGACACAGAGCTCCCACTGTAAGACCTACTGATAGTTTTTTTGGGCGAGCCACTCTGGACAGTGTTGCTCATGTCATTGAGGTTTGGGCCATCCTCCAGGATTTCTTTCAGGTCCATCTCGAATGTGTCATCCCGTCTAGGGTCCCCACCTCCATTTGGCACTGCATTCTGATCAGCCATTGTTTATGTCGTATTGATACACTGTAAATAATAATGAAATTGTGTTATGGCTGGTGTCACATGTGTACAAAATGTATAGGTAGTTTACAGGAAATTAATAATATAAGGTTTTGTTTAGTATCTATAGGCACGTGCACCTGTACAAGTCTATTAGCTGTGCATGTACCTGTATAGTCAGCTTTTCATTTACATAGAAAATGCTAACGTATATGAATACTGAAGTGACTGTTTTCTATTGCCATTTTCGTGCTTTAAAAATGCCCATTAATCAATCAGTATTAATCTGATAGAAAGCATCGGTTATAAAATCAGCAGATAATATTCCCACAGGAAATAATTTTAGATTTTTTTTCGTTTCAGGTCAATTGACCTACATGTAAATCTCTTCTGCAAAAGTTTGAGGCTCAAGTTCCATTAATAAGAGTTATGGTAGGATATTGAAATGTTGGTGAGTCGATCCAACAGATATAGAAAAACACTGTCAAATGTCTTACTCCCAAACTAACTGCCATGGTAGCTTTAATTTGCTTTCCTCCAGTATATACTTGTGGACAATGTGCCGACATTTGGTGTACATACTTCACCATCACCATCACTGCCTACATTATTAGTGTTTTTATGTCTATACATTGAAAGTTGGATAGGGGTGTCCACTTATCAGATCATGTGTTATGCATTTTTATACATGACAGGAAAATGAAACACTCTGTTTTCCTATCACGCTCCAGTTTTTCCAGTCACAATTTTTAAGTATTCAGAGCATCTCAAGCAAGCAAGAGTTACCTATCACATGCCCAAGTTCCAAGTGAATGAATCAAAGCCAACAACAACAATATGGTGCAATCACATGATGATCTTGTGTTATTGGTCAATTTCTGTATAATAAATTAATAGATTGCCCTTATGGTAGATTTTGTCATCTTGAGTTGAATCAGTTTATTCTTTTAAAGTTGTTAAAATCAAGTCCTATGATTTCGAGACTGTACAGTATTTACTATTATATATTATCAAAGTATACTATCAACCACTCGATCGGTCATAGCTTGACCAATGCAAGGAACAGTCAGTCTTGTATACTGTTTGTGTATAAGGTAAAACTGTGATTAATTTAAAGTGATCTAACAGTTACAGTCGTAAAGTTTCCTAACCTACATACAGCTGACCATGCAGTAGCAAGTTGTAGCAGGTTATATTTTGGTGGTTTTTTTAATTAAGCAACCAGATATCCAAACCCCCGTCACTGTGAAGCCAGCTGTGGCGTGCCACATCATGACTCATTTGATTCGTAGAGAATGATCTTAACTCAAAACGAAATGCTGATTATGCAAAAAACGTTAACCTAACCCTTGCTTGTTTTCGTTCGACAACACCGGTAAGTTGAAGATATCGTTGCCAGGCAAAAGCAAAGTCGATAGTTTGACAAAAATCGGGAGTGCGAATGAGACGATGTGTAGAGAAATTGCTTTGCTTAATTCGCCAAAATAGTTATATTAATGATATATATTTTCTGCTTATATCCATGCACAACAGTAAATAAACAGAATGCACATGACGTGGGCATGTTTGCATCGCGTCAACCTCGCATTTTACCGAACATATGTTCATTGCTCTCAAGGGATTGTTGCAAAACTATAATTTCACAAGGCTTATGCAAGTGCTATAGTTCCTTGACAACCATAAAACAGTAACTTGATAACAGACCTTTCGTACTCGTAGTAAATTCCTCCGGGACATTTACTTTCTGCTACCTGTCTGTCTGTGTGTCCCTGACAAGTTGTCGATTCTGACGTCATCACCGACACCGAATTATACGGAGATTGTAAATAAAGAAACGGAGTAAAGTAAGAAACTAAAAGTCCGGAATTATATCTTAAGATTAATGTATAGATGATGCAAATTTCTCCCACCCTTCACAGGCGTGTCTCCCTTTTTAGCGGGAAAGATAAGCTTGTCACCCCTAGAGGGAGATAGCCTCGTGCCGATTAGCACGTGACGTCATCAAAAGTGAATGACGATATACATATACATACCACACACGTGCTTTTGTTTACAAACATGGCAGACTACTGTCGGTGGAGCTCTGACTGAAATAATAGGATGGGAGAAAAATAATCTTCCCCTACCTTGAGGGTGTAAAAACAGAGAAATCTCCAACCCCAAGGGTTGTAGGTTTCTCTGTCACACCCTCAAGGTAGGGAAAGATTCTATTAATCATTTAATAATAGATTTTTTCTGTTTACAACACATGCAAGTGTGGATATCCCCTTGCTAAGCGTACTACCAATGCTTGAAAGAAGGGTTGGCAAGGTCGCCAATTTTGCAACAGGGCTTATCACACACTTGAGTTTTTAATACACAATATTAATTCTCTTATATAACTTTGCCCTATATGCATCATCTATGATAGTATCTTATCATGTCTAATGGAAGTTAAACTCATGACAAGTTTCTAAATGCCAAATGTATGACATTGACGGACATGTTCACAATTTTGTCCAAAGGGTTTCCCTTTTTATTTTTTCGTGTTTTTTAGTTTTAGTTGTTCCTTTTTCAAGTTGATAGAGAACAGTGAACGTTTTTTCTTTCTTTTGAAAAAATGTTTTCTGTCTGGTTAGAAAATAAGAACGCAAATTTAAAAAATCACTATAGCAATACGAAAAAGAAATTAAAGCACCAATTTAAAACTCCGTAGTACATCGATGCAGTATTTTAACGGACAAATTAAAAGGCAATACAACAAATATGTAGCGATGGGTCGATCGTCGGCGACCAGATAGCTCTTCATTGGTAGAGCGTCCGTCGAAATTTCGGATGGTCCCAGTTCGAATCCCAGGTACGGTCTGGCCGTGCGTTTCTCTTTCTCTGTTACGCATATACAGTGTTTTTCAGTGTTATCTAAGTTTTACAGCAGCCTGTTCATTTATGTATTGGAAAAATGTTTCATTATTTGTATTGAAATTCGACAAAAGTAAATTTTTGTCTTTTGGGGAAAATAAAGCACTTTAATTCGGTCTCACTTAAAAGCGTCTTCAACCGACAACAAGCGTCTTCAAGTGACAACAAGCGTCGCCAGACAAAATCTTTAAAAATACTGAATAAAGTAAGCGACATCAGAAGATATGTTGTTAATATGACTATAATACACCTCTGTACCAAATTTCAATTTGATATTTGATAAAATGACCGAGTTATGATTAATTGAATTTTTACGATCGCGGCGTGGCACATGTGTGTATTAGCATGTGAAGTGAAGAAAGCGTCGCCAGATAATATCGTTACAATTACGTATACCCGCTAAAGTAAGCGACATCAGAAGAAATGTTATTAGTTAGGCTTTTATTGATATATATTCCAAATTTCAGCTCGATATTTGAAAAAATGATCGAGTTATGATTAATTTATTCTTACGATCGGCGGCGTGGCATACGTGTGTGAATAGAACTCGACATATGAAGAAGCGTCTTCAGAACATATCTCTAAAATTCATCGATTAAGTAAGCGACATCATAAGATATGTTATTCATATAACTATGATACACCTTCATACCAAACTTCAGGTAGAAATTTTAATAAATGACCGATTCATGATGTTTTTGATTATTACGATCGACGGCTTGGCACACGTGTGTGAATAGAACTCGACAGATTGTGAAGCGTCTTCAAACTATATCTCTTAAAATAATTGATAAAGTAAGCGACATCATGAGATATGTTATTCATATGACTATGATACAACTATATACCAAATTTTAATTTGATTTGTTGAAAAATGATTGAGTTATCGTGAATTTAATTCATACGATGTACAGATATTAAGCTATACGCCGTGCCACATATGTGTACGTAGGGTATAGGGCTTCGCATAGGCAGAGACGTTGTGTATGTGTTATACGTCTCTGGCATAGGTGAACACAGTTAGAATATATTGCTCTATAAACATTGATACAACTTTAATCAGCTGTGTCAAGAATAACATTATTGCATTTATTGAACAATTTAGATTTTAACTGTAACCGATTAAGAATACATTTAACAATGTGTTTAATTATATTTTTATTATAACTAATATAGTGGGAGGGGGATGGGAATGCGTAATTTTCGAGTTTCTCAGGACTTTTTGAGAAAGATGGTGGCCCTGAAAAGGGCCGTTTAAGCAGGCGACTAGCGCAGTCTTTGACAGAACAACGCTAGTCGAACCTGTCTGGAGAACCGCCAAGAACAAAGTCTGACCTTTTGAGGCGCCTCAGCCCCCGCAAGGACCAGAAGTGGACCTTGGGGTGCTGCCTGTATTGCAGTGATGTCATTTCCTGCAACCTGCAGGAAAACTCTGGAGACATCGGTGGTCATAAACTTCTTGAATACATCACTATGTAGAGTGAGATATGTTTTGTAAGATGGTGAAACAAAAAACCGTACCACTTAATCCACAGCCACAATTGGACGAGATTTTTGTACTGAAACGGTATTACTCGACCCTTGCACGCGACGCGTCCTATAAAAAACGTATAAGTTGGTTCGACAGAATGCCAGGGTTTGACGCGATGAACATTGCTATTGCAGAGTATTTAGGAATATTTCCTTCACAACCCTCTATCCACGGCCGTTCTAAACATACAAAACAAGAGTATCAGCGCGCAACTCTCGCTACAAAGGAGTCGATACACGATAGGTTAATTAACAAACAGGCTCCGAAAGTCATTCTAGACGACATTAAGTCACTGGACGATTCTATGAATGAACCCAGAGACCTTAGGCAAATTCACAATGCCAAGTATCTTTTGCAGAAAAAAAACCGTGACGACAAACAACCAAACAGTTATAGTCAAAATACGGCGGACGGACTTTTAAGTGTTGTCAATGAAATCCATGACAGCAATTTCATTCGAGAAGTAATTGTGACAAAAGGGAAACCCCCTTCAGTTATCCTTTATACCGACAACCAGCTGACGGATATGAAAACCGCTTGTACCAAAAACGGCGCAATTTTAGGAATTGATAGGACATTTAACCTTGGACCATGCTTCGTTACTGCCTTGGTTTTTAATAACCCCAACTTGGTTAGGAAATGTAAGGAAAATTCTCCTATTATGCTTGGTCCTGTTCCAGAGAAACAGTTATTCTTACGTATACAAACAAAATGTATTTGATTATATGAAATACCGATATTTACACATGTGTGTCAGTTATTTCAAAAGAAGTTTAAAACGATTGTATTTTTCAGCTGTACCTTTACAACAATAACCATTAAATGTTAGTGTAGTCTTCATTTAAACTTATAGGTACTTAGGGATTTTTTTAAACACTAACATTAAATCGATCAGTCACACGAACATATAACGGACCCCGAGTAGAACCACGTCCACGTCCGTAGGGTCTGGTAACATGCTCGTTTCAAGAGTGTGGCTGAGAGTTCTACAATATAATCCGGTCTAACTGTGTTCACCTATGCGAAGCCCTACCCTACGTACACATATGTGACACGGCGTATAGCTTCGTAAAATTAAATTCACGATAGCTCAATCATTTTTTAACAAATCTACCTGAAGTTTGGTATAAAGGTGTAGCATAGTTATATGAATAACATTTCTTCTGATGTCGCTTACTTAATCGATTAATTTTAGAGATATAGTTTGAAGACGCTTCACAATCTGTCGAGTTCTATTCACACACGTGTGCCAAGCCGTCGATCGTAGTAATCAAAAACATCCTTACTCAGTCATTTATTCAAATTTCTACCTGAAGTTTAGTATAAAGGTGTATCATAGTTATATGAATATCATATCTTCTGATGTCGCTTACATTATAGGTTAATATTCGAAATATTGTCTGAAGACGATTTACGATCTGTAGTGTTCTATTTACACACGTATGCCACGCCGCCGATCGTAATAATAAATTAATCATAACTCGATCATTTCTTCAAATATCGAGCCGAAATTTGGAATATATATCAATAAAAGCCTAACTAATAACATATCTTCTGATGTCGCTTACTTTAGCGAGTAATTGTAACGATATTATCTGGCGACGCTTTCTACACTTTTCAAGCTAATACACACATGTGCCACGCCGCGATCGTAAAAATTCAATTCATCATAACTCGGTCAATTTTTCAAATATCAAATTGAAATTTGGTACAGAGGTGTATTATTGTCATATTAACAACATATTTTCTGATGTCGCTTACATTATTCAGTAGTTTTGAAGATTTTGTCTGGCGACGCTTGTTGTCACTTGAAGACGCTTGTTGTCGGTTGAAGACGCTTTTAAGTGAGACCCCTTTAATTACGAGAATTGGTCGGCAACCAGTATAGCCAGAGGAAACAGCCTGTATTTGGCAGTAAGATTTGGCAAAAATACACGAATATAACAAGATTCCGTGTAATTAGGATAACACCCTTTGTGTCTGTCACTTATTTAATCACGGGCTTAGATAGCACTCCGTGATTTTAATTAAGAATCAATACTACAAACATTGATCATCTGCGTCGTGTGATATTTCAGCGTGTAATTTCCGGATATTTGTTTCGACATTGATTATTGGTTTTAACGTTTAGTTTCACCTGAAAATTGCATCGTGGTCGTGACAGTGATTTGACGGCAAGGAGCTGTGTGTGTATCGGTGACATTGGTCTGCACGTTTAGTGACTGAGTGATGAAAACTGATGAAAGCATTACATCGAAGAAAACATGAATCGAAGTCAGCAAATGGCAATTGCACAGAAAGAGGCAATTGCCCAGAGTGTGCAAAACGTAATGAAACATATGTTAAAGGATACCATTTAAGGTCCTTGTACTGTATCTGGAATTGTGACCCTTATGTCTACCTGCTTACCTATAATCACCCATTATCATACTGAACGTTAGTTACTAACAGATAATTTTTAGCCCACCATCATCTGATGGGGGGCTATAGATGATGGGGGGGGGGGGGGGGGGTCTATTCAAATCACCCTGCGTCCGTGGTTCGTCCTTAAACAATTCTTGTTATCGGTATTTCTCAAGAAGTACCAGAGGGATCTTTCTCAAATTTTATATGTAGGTTCCCCTTGTTGTGCAGCAGTGCCTGAAAAGGACGGTAACCCGATCGCCAATGGCGATTAAAGTCTTGCTCGAACAACCAAAAGTGAGGTAGTCATACTGGCCCAACATAAATAGTTTGGGTGACTGTTGAAAAATTATGAATGAAAGAAATTAAAGTTCCTTCCACATTAACTGGGGGCAGTAAATTTTTCAGTTGTCATTACTTCGATTTAAATCGAACAGTCCGTGATTTAGAAAATGTGATGAATTTTTCAGATTTGTTATATAAAATACAGCCAGAGTGTCTTCTTTGAGGTGCGAGTTTTGTGTATTTCTTGTCAGGAAACATGTCAGGTTTCAACTAGGTTTGAAGAATTAAAAATGTAATGTTTTATTCTGTTTTACATATTATAAACATTGTGATGTTATATGTAATTTAAATGTGCTGAAGCATTGTGTAAATGCTGTGGAAATATTTCTTCCCAATAGTATTTGGGCCACCAACCTCTCTGCACTCTTCCCTTCCGTTGATTATATGCTAGAAGTGGTCTTTCAACGTACATATACAGATACAGATACCAATTATTATGTCATTTGGGCCAGTGCTTCAAAGTTTTTACTCGCCCCAAAAAACATTTTGAGCCAGCCAATGCAGGTTCCCCACTATCCTTTATTGTTCATGTTTACTTTTGAAACTGATCAGTTAAACAAAATGGCCTATCGACAGCCATCTTTGATTTTTGACATTGAAGGTTTGTTAGTACTATTTCTCAGGAATAACTTGAGGGATCTTTCTCAAATTTGATATGTAGGTTCCCCTTGACCCCTCGTTGTGCATGTTATATTTTGAGACTGATCATAAAAACAAAATGGCTAAAGGAAAAACTAAACAGATTTTTCTCATAATGCAATGATTGATTCTATTTCTTTCACATTAAGTACTGTACTAGTAAATATGTGAAATAACAAACTCACTTTGAAGGTTGGCTTTCATACACATCAGTAATAAGTTTAGATCAAAAGTTACCTCAAGGTGCATTTACTGTCAACATGAATCGATAAAACAGATTAGAGGAAAGAAGAGAAAAGATCGAACTGCCAAAGAACTAATGAAGATGGTACAATGGTGGGCGCCTTTTCTGTCCAACTTCCACTAACCATCTGTCAGATTAAATTGTTTACCCTCGTAGGAATGTGTTGTGTGATCTGGTTTTGATGGGTACATTTTACATGTTGTGCTGGTTTACGGCATGATCATGGAGTCCCTTTCCTGATGGGTTCCAGCAGCAATGTTCACATATTATTATTTGATGCGTTTAGCCTGAGTTTCCTCTGACACCAGCCTGGAGACATTCTTACAGATAGATATCTTTGTAGAGGTCCGACCATACCAAACTCAAGACATTCTGACAGATAAACAGGTCCAGTACACTCTCCCGATTGAGCTATAAAGCTATAAAGACCTATATGTATTGTTGACTACAAAAAGTATACATTTAGGTGTTTATTTTCGTTTTTCGGAAATATAAAATTTCAGATTTTTTTTACATCATTATTTTTTTAAAAGAATACTTATATTTAATGTCTTTGGTTATCAACCTAATGATAAAAGCGACTTTGTTTCGTTTTCCTTCAAAAAGAAAATCACATGAAAATAGCTCAAAAGACCTATTTCAGATATAAAGGTCAATAGAGCTAGTATAGGTCTTTACAGCTATATATAGCTCAATCGGCAGAGTGTACTGGACCTGATAAAGTCTTGCTTGGAGGCTTGGCCTGGACATCAGTCATCAGCCTTTCAGAATGTCTCAAGTCTGGTCTGGAACTAGAGTAGACTCAGACTATTGATGTGTTGTGCTTGTGGTTACAGATGAGGGAGTTTATGATGTTGTACAACAACCTGACAGAGCGATGTTTCTCAAACTGTGCTGTTCTACAACACGACAACAAGTTGTCAGCAAAGGAGGTAATGCCATCATTGTTGTAAGATCTACCATGTGTAGGCACTCTCAGCATTGTTTATCATTAATACATATTGCTTGCTTCATAGTGCAATCCCTCACTCAGCTCAGTGGTTTATCACTAGATTTAGTTTACAGTTTTAAACATATTTTATCGATAAAAATAACAAACAGGAATCTGACATTAGGTATCTTCCAAATCAAATGTAATCAAGCATGTGAGATGTGTTTAGTAAGAAATAACATTATCATTGAGCATTTTCTTAGAAGGAAGGGTTGATTGTTGGAAGTAAAAGGGGGTGTCTGTGTCTGTCTTGCCTAATTATAGCATGTGTAGTGATTTTATATACAACAACAGTTTCAAACATCAGACATCTTTATCAATAACAGTTAGAAAAAATGTGTTTTAAATTAAACATTGCACATACAAATTCAACATTATTAAACATACAAATACAACTTCTATATCTTATTTTTCTAATTTATTAAATAAGCTTCTGACAAGGTCTTAAATTTAAGATTTAAAGTCTTTTTTTTATTTTTTAAATAGTGTCTTTAAATTTTATTTGTTGCAGAAGTTCTGTGTAGAAAACTGCACTGATAGATTTGTGTCATATAATCAGAGACTGATGCCAACATTCGCACAGAACTACCAGGAGAGAATGAAGGCGGCAGAGAGGCTGGCTTTAGAACAAATGGAAAAGGCCAAACAAGATGAAGCCGCTCAAGCCAAAGAGCAGACAACTCCACCAGGGAATTTAAATGCTGAGATGCAACCATCAACTCAATCAGAAACTCAAACAGATCCTAAAATATCCTGACAAGAGCAGGTGTAAATAGTTGGAACAATAAGTTACTATCACAGGCCATGGCCTGATATTAAAGCAATTCCATGCTCAGTTATTCTCTGGAAAAGAATGAGCTGGCATTAATTACTTTGTCCTTTGGAAAAGTTCCTGTCTGACACAATTTCATTTGTGTTAGTTAAGGGTTAAAATGTTGATTGGGTCGCAAATACCAGGGGAGTCGCAACACATCTGGAGTGTTTCACAAAACACTAAAATAAAGAAGGAATGTATTGATATGTATCCCAATAGATTGTTAGAGAAAGAAGTGCTTTGTTGAACATGAAATAATTCAGAATGATATCAAAATTAATATCATATCATTATGGATCACACAGATTTAAGATGTTTATGAAACCAACCATCAATTGTGAAATTCCACTTGATTTCCACCACTAGTGAAAGCCTGTGTATAGTTTTTTGTAAATGAGTTAGATTGTATTAGTAATTGTTAGAGTTAAACGCCTACATTATATAAAAGATACACATTATAAAAGATACATAATGTAAAAGATACATAATATAAAAGAAATATAATATTAAAGATACAGAATGTAAAAGATACAAAAGATACAAAATGTAAAAGATATATAAAATAAGTTTTGACAAATAATGTAACACAGTAAATTAAGTTATTTCATTACTGTATTTATTGTGATGCAATGCAATGTTTATTGCAATATACTGACTTTTTGATATATTGTGAACTGTGAAGCCCTAGCAATTACAAACTAGTCTTTATAGACAATTCCTGAGAACCTCTGCGGCTAGACCATATCATTTATTGAACTATTTATGCCTGGATTTCTTGGCCATTCGTCGGCAAATGATAATGTGATTGTATCCAGTATTCATCTGTTGTTTTGGTTTCATGAAATTTTGAAGTGAGTGTGTATGATTGTATGATTGAAAAACCAAATAAAACTTGTGAAAATTGTCTGTTACAGAAATGTTGTTTTACACCATTATTATAAGGATACGTTTGTATATATTTTTATTACACACTTACTAATAAATACGGGTTTTTAGCTCACCTGGTCAAAAGGACCATGGTAAGCTTATGCCATACCGCAGCGTCCGTTGTCCGTCCGTCAACTTTTCCTTTAAAACGCTACTAGTCCTGAACGGCCAAGTAGATTTTGACTAAATTTGGTATAGAGCATCCTTAGGCCAAGGGTACTCAATTTTGTATAAACTGTGGGTGTGACCCCCCTCGGGCAGAGGGGCAGAGCCCAATAGGGGAAATAGAGGTAAAACCTTTAAAATCCTACTTCTACCGTAGGAATGAAAGGATTTGTTCCATATTTGGTCTGGAGCATCCTTGGGGGTAGGGGAAACAATTTTGGATAAACCATGGGTCTGGCCCCCCAGGGGCCTGAGGGGCGGGGCCCAATAGGGGAAACATAGCAAATTATTCTTTAAAATCCTTCTTCTTCTGTAGGAATGAAAGGATTTGTTCCATATTTGGTGTGGAGCATCCTTCAGCCAAGGGGACTCAATTTTGTATAAACGGTGGGTCTGGCCCCCCTGGGGGCTGAGGGACGGGGCCCGATAGGGGAAATAAAGCAAACTTTTTAAAATCCTTCTTATTCTGTAGGAATGAAAGGATTTGTTCCATATTTGGTCTGAAGCATTCTTGGGTGAAGGGGAACCAATTTTGTATAAATGGTGGGTCTGGCCCCCCTGGGGGCTGAAGGGCGAGGCCTTATAGGGGAAATATAGCAAATTCTTTAAAATCCTTCTTCTGTAGGAATGAAATGATTTGTTCCATATTTGGTCTGGAGAATCCTTGGGTGAGGGGGAACCAATTTTGTTTAAACGGTGGGTCTGGCCAGCCAGGGGCCTGAGGGGCGGGGCCCAATAGGGGAAACATAGCAAATTATTCTTTTAAATCCTTCTTCTGTAGGATTGAAAGAATTTGCTCCATATTTGGTGTGGAGCATCTTTGGGAAAAAGGGGAACCAATTTTGTATAAACAATAGGTGTGGCCCCCCTGGGACCTGAGGGGAGGGTCCCGATAGGGGAAATATAGCATATTATTTAAAATCCTTCTTATTCTGTAGGAATGAAAGGATCTTGTCCATATTTGGTTTGAAGCATTCTTGGGTGAAGGGGAACCAGTTTTGTATAAACGGTGGGTCTGGCCCCCCTGGGGGCTGAGAGGCGGGGCCAAATAGGGGAAATATAGCAAATGCTTTAAAATCCTTCTTCTGTAGGAATGAAAGGATTTGTTCCATATTTGGTCTGAAGCATCCTTGGGTAAAGAGGAACCAACTTTGTATAAACTGTGGTCCCTGGTCCCAGGGGCCTGAGGGGCCGGGCCCAATAGCGGAAAGATAGCAAATTATTCTTTAAAATCCTTCTTCTGTAGGAATGAAAGGATTTGGTCCATATTTGGTTTGGAGCGTCTTTGGGTAAAGGGGAACCAATTTTGTATAAACAGTGGGTGTGCCCCCCCCTGGGACCTGAGGGTCCAGTAGGGGAAATAGAGGTAAAACCTTTAAAATCGTTTTTCTACCATAGGGATTAAGAGATTTTATTCTAGTTTAGTCTGGAGCATCCCTGGGCCAAGATAACTCAATTTTGTATAAGCAGTGGGTGTGGTCTCCCAGGGGGCAGAAGAACAGGGCCCAATATGAGAAATAGAGGTAAAATCTATAAAATCCTTCTTCGACCATCCAGATTAAGGGATTGTATCCTTATTTAGTCTGGAGCATCCTTGGGCAAAGGGGTCTCAATTTTATATAATTGGTGGGTATGACCCCCCCTAGGGGAATAGGGGTGGGGCTCTGTTTGAAGTTTCTTGCTATATCTCAAGTACTGGATGGATCTTTCTGAAATTTCATATGTACTTACAGCACCTACCATGGAGTGCTATATATTTACTGCATACCAATTATTTTAAACCCATTCAGATGAGCGATACAGGCCCTCTGGGCCTCTTGGTTGTATATGCGATACGACACAATTACTCTTACCCATATCAGCCCTCATCGTATCACACCCCAAAAGCGGTATCAGTCCCTGTCGTATCACACCCCAAAACCTGTATCAGCCCGCAAAACCGTATCACACCCCTTTTGGATTTTTTACGTTTTTCAATATTTCAAAAGAAAATCGATTATAAGATAGTAGCTTTTATTAGTAAGTTTGTAATAAACAAAATAAAACATGCCTTTTTCCATATCACACCCAGTAACAACCTCTACATTGCAGTCTCCGGTTGATACTGGGTGTGATATGGAAAAAGGCATGTATTATTATCTATTTATCTAGACCTGGCAATTTTCTGATGCCATTTATTATGAAGCAACTTTACAGAAATATCAATATCAGGTGCTGAAGGAGGATATATTTACCTGCCACATCTCTCTGTCCAATACTTTGCTTTAAGTGGTTATATCCTACCATGTAACTGCTGGACACCTGTGTAGTACATATTGTATATAGTATATCCACATCATATTACTATTAGTGTGTCCAGCACCTGTGTAGTACTGATTGTATATAGTATATCCACATCATATTACTAATAGTGCGTCCAGCACCTGTGTAGTACTGATTGTATATAGTATATCCACATCATATTACTATTAGTGTGTCCAGCACCTGTGTTACAATATTCAGATTTTCTACAATCAGTATTTACCAACCCGAAAAACATGTTAAGCAAGAAAGAAAGAAGAAACACGTACTTGCATATTTTGGGTTCTTTGCCTCTTATTGGGGTCACATTCCCATACTTAGTATCATTAGAAAATGCTTGTTTGTTTCCGGAAAACGTTTCACATTTCAGTGCCGCTAATATACACGTTTGATACGTCAAACTAACGTTATTACTACAAAAAAAAGCAAAAACATCACATTGGCTCTACCTGGTCCCCTTAAAATCGGTACCACGAAAAAACACCAGGAAGCAGTGTTTTACATGGCGACATTTCGTGCTGATAATATTACATAAGTCGTATGGCTTCCCGAAGTTTTTATACACGTTTGACACGCCGCAACAATCTGATTAAAATCATCTGTTACATGGCTCCGCCTGGATGTTCATGACAGGCGTAGTACGAAGTTCACGAAGCCATGTAACATATGATTTTAATCAGATTGACACGCTAATTCCCACGTTTCAACTTTGTTTACACGTTTGACACGCCAATTCCCACGTTTCAACTTTGTATACACGTTTGACACGCCAATTCCCACGTTTTAAGTTTGTATACACGTTTTACACGCCAAACTCACGTTTTGACTAAAATCAAAATATCAGCATCGGCTGTAACCATCATTTGAGATGTCTCTTAGAACTTATCATTTGAAACGGACTTCGTGTGTCTTTCAGAAGAATGTACATGTATAGGTATATGGTGCGTTCTACTAGGGGACAAGGAACCCCACACGTCTTTTTATTATTGAAAAACGGAATTGGCCGTTTTCAGAAAATGTTTAGTGTGCATATTTTCGGCTGTAATCTTCATTTGAAGAGTAAACTCGTTTTACACGTCAACCGGCAATACAATAATTAGCCTCTTCCTCATGCAAAACCCTTTAGCTGCGGGAACCGTAGCTTCTTGGCCCGATCGCTTGAATTTACTGTTTTATCGAACCATAGAGCTACGGTATTCATAGTGTAAACAAAATAAAACGATCGGGCCTAGAAGCTATACGGTTCCCGCAGCTAGCAAAACCCCGTACTATTGGAAGAGAATCAAAAAGAAATATGCACATATTTACAGGCTTGGCACTACACGCGGGCGATTTTGTCAGGGTTCCTCTTTGGGTTTCTTTGCGTTATTTGACTCATAAGTGGATGGGGACTGAATGCTTGGCTGTTTTAGGTTGGTTTTCAATATATTTTCTACCACTTTTTGGTTCGTACATCTCAATTAAACTAGCGCTGGGGAACATGTTTCGTATATTTACACCTCTTTGTTATACTGTACATCAAAATATCACATTCCACGATGTCTTGTTTGAGTTGTATCTCTTATAACGATAATGTAATCTGTAGCAGCTACAAGAACTACACTCGATATTTTGGTAGTTGGCGCAAAACGAGTAGGGTGTTATATACACTCTTAAGAGTTACCTCCCGTTGAACGATAATTATGAAAGTAAATTTCTGTCCATGTGTTTTAATATAGGGTACTTAGCAATACGTGAAGACTAATTTATTTGATTTCTCATTCTTAAAATATTTCATGTTACAATAAACAAAGAGCAAAACATAAACAGCGGCTGTACCCATCAACTATAGAGTAAACTTATCGAATTTGTTATCATTCAGAAGGTGTTTAGTGAGCAGAATCGGTGTTTTAACACCTCGGAATTACAGTTTTGAAATTTGTTTTTTTTTTGATGACCAGAAAGAAGTTTTTAATTGACATACATCTTTTGCGTTAGATTTCTGGAGGCCAGCCCCATGCCAGTACCTCTTGGTATCTTTGGAAGGAAATTCAAGTTGATTCCAGAACACATTTCATGCGCATATTTCACAGCCGTAACGTCAAGGTTATACACGTTCCAACCTTTATGCCTCTTATTTTAACAAAATGTGTTGTGTGACCTTCACTGTACATTTTCAAGAATAAGGCAACTGAATTGGTTATCTGTAAATTGTAAGTAGGTCAAATAGGATTGATGGGGCACTTTATGTATCGCAACTGCGCACAGAGTACACGCGCATATCTTAAAACAAAAACAAACAACTGCTAAAAATGTCGCCCATAGAGATTAAATCGACAAACTCGAGCGACAATACCTGTCAAGGTTGTGGTACCGGTGGCGACAATACCTGTCAAGGTAGTGGTACCGGTGGTGACAATACCTGTCAAGGTATTGGTACCGGTGGCGACAATACCTGTCAAAGTAGTGGTACCGGTGGCGACAATTGTGTGATTGTTGTGTGACCTTCACTGTACATATTCAAGAATAAGGCAACTGAATTGGTTATCTGTACATTGTCAGTAGGTCAAATAGGATTGTTGGGGCACTTAATGTATCGCAACCGCGCAGAGAGTACACGCGCATATCTTAAAACAAAAGCTTGACAGGTAACAGTTGCTACCTGTCAAGGTAGTGGTACCGGTGGCGACAATACCTGTCAAGGTAGTGGTACCGGTGGTGACAATACCTGTCAAGGTATTGGTACCGGTGGCGACAATACCTGTCAAAGTAGTGGTACCGGTGGCGACAATACCTGTCAAGGTAGGGGTACCGGTGGCGACAATACCTGTCAAGGGAGTGGTACCGGTGGTGACAATACCTGTCAAGGTAGTGGTACCGGTGGCGACAATACCTGTCGAGGTGGTGGTACCGGTGGCGACAATACCTGTCAAGGTGGATGTACCGGTGGCGACAATACCTGTCAAGGTAGGGGAACCGGTGGCGACAATACCTGTCAAAGTAGTGGTACCAGTGGCGACAATTCCTGTCAAGGTAGTGGTACCGGTGGCGACAATACCTGTCAAGGTAGGGGGACCGGTGGCGACAATACCTGTCAAAGTAGTGGTACCAGTGGCGACAATACCTGTCAAGGTAGGGGTACCGGTGGCGACAATACCTGTCAAAGTAGTGGTACCAGTGAACTGTATTACCGAGTCAAGCATGAATCTCGTACATGACTGTCGCTTTTGGTATAATGTAGTTTTCCTGTAATGTTTCTCTTTGAACGTGTATTTTCTCACGCAGCATCAGTTATACCGGGTATACACCCATTGGTAGGATGACCTATTCATAAATATTTACGATATTTAAAGTGCAATCGGAAGATGTATTTTGTCACGTTGAAATGTCAAATATTTGTATAAGTAATGGTGAAGTACAACCTGACCCATGTACCCGTATCTATAGACGTGTTCATTTAAAATGTGGCCACACAAAACGGCCCTATTTATAATCAATTTATCGTTTTTGTTCTACACTTTCAAGGTTTGTGAAAACTGGAACAAGCAAGGTGTTCCTATTATAGTATGGATGCCCGGGAATATTTTCTGTGTCATGTACATGATAAACCGTGTACCGATGTTCGCATTGCAGAACAAGCCCGTACCTTCAATATTTTATTTGTAAACAATCACACCTGTCCGTGGCTAGCGATGTTGAGACAACAGTTATTCGGACAAACACCATTTTGTTTTATTTCAGCAAACATTACAGCTTGACCAGTTTCCGTATTAGAACTTGTGTTTGCATCCCCTGATTAAGTATACTGAAATAAAGCCGTTGAATGCACGGCGAAAAGTGACACATCGAACACTATTGAGCCAATATAATATAATCCCTGTATCGGGAAATGAACAAGTCATAGAAAATTTAGCAAACGTTTGAATGGAGACCATGTCAATTCAATCAATATCGCTTTTAAGCGGAACTTCCCTCCTTGTCAGTATATCCAAAATAGGGCTCCATCGTACGTATCCTTCTGGACTCCTCCACGACCAGTCTCAACTGTTCGTCTGCCTCCGAAGGAGACTGGGACCAGGGACGTCCCGATTGGGGAACTACATACAACGTCATTTGAGAAACTTATTTTTTTCCAGATTTAATGCCTTACTACATTGTGAAGCACCCTTCTCACATGAAAAGTTGTAAAGGTTAATCAGGCCATACCCTATCAAGTTCCTTGCTAATATTACAGAAGATAAATGTAATTTCCTTATTTTGATCTAGGCAATTAACAATGGTGTGGTATATGGAGTGTAATTGATGAACAGGTGATCTTTTGGAGAAATAATATGAAACACGTGTATACGCATAATGAACAAATGCATAGAAATGATCATAATTGACCGTAATATTTTTGTTCACAACTTTGTTATATAGTTATGCAATGTAATGACTTCTTTTCAGAATAGAGTTGATTTAAGGTGATAGGATTGTGTCACCATTTCTCAGTAGATTTTTTTCAAATTTTGTAGTTATATTGCTTTGAAATAAAGAAATTTTCTGCCACAAAAAAATAAACGGTTGTCAGAATTTTAAGGATTTTTAAATCGAAATTTATGTAAAAAGGAGTGAATTTTGAAAAAAAAAATGAAAGACACAATATTTGGCAAAATAATGTCAGTAAAATTGATACTGCCATAGATTAGTATTGCATAATGTATATCAATTTAATAAATGCTGAAATTGTGTAACATTAATTATCTATAAACGATTAAAAATTGACATTTTATGATAAAACCTTATATACACATAGTAATTGCATGTAAGAGTTATCTTTCCTGAAAATCTTCACACTAGTGAAATAGGTAGCCGGTTTCCTGAGTACAGAAAAACGGACACATGTGACTCATTGATAAAAAGCAACTGAATTAATGCCTGTATTGCTTTGAAATACTTTAATATTGAAAGAACACACTGTTCTGTCAATAATAAACATACAATATTCATTAGTTTAATATTAAACATTAGAATATGCGGAAATTGTGATACTGTCTCCCTACATTGGATTTTCAAATAGGAATGTACTTCCTATTTCCGTTTATCAATCAATGCAGTTAAAAAATAATTCATAGATATAGTGTTGGCAGGTGTATGGGGATTCCTAAAGGGGAAGTTAGTTGTATCTGTACACACTCTGCCTCAATGCGGTAAGATTACAACACTGTAGGACACATCTATCAGGTGACTGTATGTGTTTGACTGTGTGTGTGTGTGTCAAGGTTATGGTCAGAGTCTAGAATAAATATAAAAAGAGGATAAAATACACACAAGCACAGCAAATACTACAAGCAAAAATGTTGGATGCATTTTTTGGTATGGATCTTCTGATTGTCGCCCTTGGCATATTAGGTTTGCTGTTTCTCCTAAAACTGCTGTATGTCCCCAGCAACAGTCCTCCTGGACCTACCGGGTATCCACTGGTGGGAAACTTTCCACTCTTTATGTCTGGAAGCAGAACGAAAAAAATTAAGCGGCTACGACAGACATATGGAGACGTGTTTAGTTTGCGGTTAGGTAGTAAACGAATGGTGGTCATCAACGGCTACGAGGCTCTGAAGGAGACGTTTGTAAAGAATGATGATGTGTTCTCAGAGAGGCCCCCGGACGATTACCTCTCCAAACGGACGAGTAAAGGCAAAGGTTTGTTACAATTTAATGGCTAGGTTAGACATTGCTTTAGTATGTGAAGTACGGAGCCCCCGAAGGGACATGGTAAAACATTTACTAAACCGTGCGCACGGATTACCAAACCGTGCACACGGATTACCAAACCGTGCATACGGATTGACAAACCGTGCGCACGGATTACTAAACCGTGCGCACGGATTACCAAACCGTGCACACGGATTATTAAACCGTGCGCACGGATTACCAAACCGTGCACACGGATTGACAAACCGTGCACACGGATTGACAAACCGTGCACACGGATTGACAAACCGTGC